TAAGTTTCAAGCCAAAAAGTAAAATGGTTTTCCACTTATCGTGTTATCGGTGCTGCATATATGCTGAAAAAAGTGAAAAAACAGCATAACTTCCCTAAAAATGGCCCGATCATGCTGATTTTCGAACTTGACCTGCATATTATGAATATTCATCAGTTTTATAAGTTTCAAGCCAAAAAGTAAAATGGTTTTCCACTTATCGTGTTATCGGTGCTGCATATATGCTGAAAAAAGTGAAAAAACAGCATAACTTCCCTAAAAATGGCCCGATCATGCTGATTTTCGAACTTGACCTGCATATTATGAATATTCATCAGTTTTATAAGTTTCAAGCCAAAAAGTAAAATGGTTTTCCACTTATCGTGTTATCGGTGCTGCATATATGCTGAAAAAAGTGAAAAAACAGCATAACTTCCCTAAAAATGGCCCGATCATGCTGATTTTCGAACTTGACCTGCATATTATGAATATTCATCAGTTTTATAAGTTTCAAGCCAAAAAGTAAAATGGTTTTCCACTTATCGTGTTATCGGTGCTGCATATATGCTGAAAAAAGTGAAAAAACAGCATAACTTCCCTAAAAATGGCCCGATCATGCTGATTTTCGAACTTGACCTGCATATTATGAATATTCATCAGTTTTATAAGTTTCAAGCCAAAAAGTAAAATGGTTTTCCACTTATCGTGTTATCGGTGCTGCATATATGCTGAAAAAAGTGAAAAAACAGCATAACTTCCCTAAAAATGGCCCGATCATGCTGATTTTCGAACTTGACCTGCATATTATGAATATTCATCAGTTTTATAAGTTTCAAGCCAAAAAGTAAAATGGTTTTCCACTTATCGTGTTATCGGTGCTGCATATATGCTGAAAAAAGTGAAAAAACAGCATAACTTCCCTAAAAATGGCCCGATCATGCTGATTTTCGAACTTGACCTGCGTATTATGAATATTCATCAGTTCTGTAAATTTGAATACAAAATGTAAAACGGTATTCCACTTATCGTGTTATCGCTGAGTGCACGGCGACGACGGCGACGACGGCGTCGACAGACGCAGATGATGGCTATATGTACAGACACATCTGTGTCTGTACATAAAAAAGGCCTATAACTGATTCCGTGATGTTTACATTACAACTTTTGTCTTTTCCCGACATTAAGTCTGGACTGCAGTATATTTCCATTTGTAAATACACTTTAGCTAATATTATTTATTTCGCTTTACTTTTGTTTACTTTCGGCAAATTCAGATGTCAAACAAAGAGTATTAAAGAATGGAGAAATGATGTATTGCCAAGTTGTTTTATAAATGACAGCCGGCACACACCCAAGCATATGTCTACTTACACACTTACCCTATCCTGTATATTAGGATCCGCCCCGTGCTGGAGGAGAAGCTGGATACACTGTGTGGCACCTCGCTTTGCAGCCAAGTGTAGTGGTGTACGTCTTAACTGTGGGTTTTAAAAACGTGCTTATTTTGATGCATAATTAGTGATTTTTAATTAGTCATATGTCATTTTCACACAGTCCACTGTTTGTAAGTAGTATTTATGATTGGTCATTAGGCCTTATAATAATAGCTAATTATCAATTGTAGGAATGACGTTGAATGCACGTTGCTGTTGTGATGGGAAATTGTAAGATTTGGCAGAATATAGATGTCACAGTGAATATTTTGATATAATGTTTTAATACTAAAGTTAAAAAAGGCAAACACCCCAAGCATATGTGGACTCACACACTTACCATATCCTGTATATTGGGATTCGCCCCATGTTGGAGGAGAAGCTGGACACATTGTGTGGCACCTCGCTGTGCAACCAAGTGTAGTGGAGTACGTCCAGATACATCCTGTGGATTCTAAAATTATGATAATTTTAATGCAAAATCTGTCTTTATTTTATGATAATTCGTCTATATTCTCATATAATTAAACAATTTACTGTATGTCAATACAGGGTTTATGTATGATCATTAGACCTTACTTATTGATTTTATTCCAGAATATTTTGCGATGTGAAATTGTAAGATTTGGCAGCAAAAACAAAATTAAAATGTGTCAGTAAATGTGATTTAAAGTTACATACAATGTATTCATATTAATATTAAACAGTGTACACCCCACTTTCAAAATATTCCATCCTATCCATTCACTCTGTATATTAGGATCCGCCCCGTGCTGGAGGAGAAGCTGGACACACTGTGTGGCACCTTGCTCTGCAGCCCAGTGTAGTGGTGTACGTTTTAACTGTGGGTTTTAAAAACGTGATAATTTTGATGCATTATTACTTTTTTAGTCATAACTTAATTTCACACAGTCCACTGTTTTTAATAATATTAATGAGTGACCTTTAGGCCTTATAATAACAGTTTTTTTAAGTCCTTAATTATATATTGTAGGAAGGAATGTCTTTTGCTTTTGTGATGGGAAATTGTGGGATTTGGCAGCAAAATAAATGTCACAGTGAATATTTTTCAAAGCTTGATATATAATGTTTTAACAGTTAAGTTAAAATAGACCACACACCCCAATCACATTCCACTAGCATACTTACCTTATCCTGTATATTAGGATTTGCCCCATGCTGGAGGAGAAGCTGGACACACTGTGTGGCACCTTGCTCTGCAGCCAAGTGTAGTGGTGTAAGTCGACTAGCACGCTGTAGATTCTAAATTTATGATAATTTTGATGCAACATCTGTCTTTATTTTATGATAATTGGTCTATATTTTTATATAATTAAACAATCTACTGTATGTCAATAGACCTTACTTATTGATTTTATTCCAGAATATTTTGCGATGTGAAATTGTAAGATTTGGCAGAAAAAACGTGTAAATGAATATGATTTTAAGTAACATACAATGTATTCATACAAATAGCTTTCTTAAAAATCCTGCCATTTTGCTCAGTATATTAGGATCCGCCCCGTGCTTGAGAAGAAGCTTGACACACTGTGTGGCACCTCGCTCTGCAGCCCAGTGTAGTGGAGTACGTCCAGGTGCATCCTGCGGATTCTAAAATTATGATAATTTTAATGCAAAATCTGTCTTTATTTTATGATAATTCGTCTATATTCTTATATAATTAAATAATTACTGTATGCATTTAGGCTTTATGCGTGATCATTAGACCTTACTCATTGACTTTAGTCCGGAATATTTTGCCATGTGAAATTGTTAGATTTGGCAGCAAAATAAATGTGGCAATGAATGTGATTTAAGTGACATACAACTTATTCATAGTAATGTTAAAACAGCGTATACACCAATAGGTTCATAAGCCATTCTTTCTTTTTGCTTTGTATATTAAGATCCGCCCCGTGCTGGAGGAGAAGCTGGACACACTGTGTGGCACCATGTTTTGCAGCCTTGTGTAGTAGTGTATTTTTTTCTGTGGGTTTTAAAAACGTGACAATTTTGATGCATAATTAGTGATTTTTAATTAGCCATATGTCATTTTCACACAGTCCACTGTTTGTAAATAGTGTTTATGACTGGTCATTAGGCCGTATAATAATAGTTCAATGTTCGTCGTTGTTCGCCAAAGTATTTCAATTTTTTAATTAGACTCTGAAAGATGAATTCATTACCTCGCCAGTTGTGTTGACATCGAAGGTCCCATCTCTCAGTAGGTTCGTTAACTTCTGCACGTTTCCTTTCTTAGCAGCTTGGAAGAGATCCACTTCAGACATCTTGGCGGTTGACTTACCGTAATTATCCGAAGAACACAAGAAAATTATTTACATAAGAAATAAATTATCTTATATATAATTAATAATTTTTTTTTTGTTATCTAGTTTGACAGTTATGGAAACCACTGTCCCTAAAATAACTGTGGTTTTGATGTAATAATTATGTACACCCCTCATTAAGTGTATTGAATTCTTGAATAAGCACAGTGTGATTAGTTACCTCTACATCTGGCAATATGTTTAAGGCACCTAACAATAATTATAATGTTAATTTATACTTTTAACTGTACGAACTTCAAAACTAGGCTAGGTTGTTCAACAGCTCAGTATTGTTATTCAGTGCATTGTTAATAGTATATTTATCAACATGTTGTTGATAATGGATTGAGATGAACTAGATAAATCTCATCCTGGCATTCTTCAGTGAGGAGTGCTGTAGCCCACGTTTGACTTATATAAACTGAATATTTTGCATCGGCCGGGTGCACGGTTATTTGGCAATATCTGGGGGGGGGGGGGGGGGGGGGGGGGGGAATCCCCTTTCCTCCACAGTCTATGGGAAGTCCAAAGAGAAAAGAAACAATTGTCCGAATAAACGTGTGCAATCTAACGACCTCTTCTCGAATGAGTGTAGAGGTTTAATATTTGGGATGAATTTCTAAAATTTGCCGACCATCTCTGAAAATCGTTTTACATCTAAATATCATTACAGCGGATTCTCCTCGCTTTTCAGCCGCCGTACTTAACCAAAACACATTTCTCCACTCAATATTTGGACTTCCTCATAAATCTCAACACAGGAAGAAACAGATACTGCTTTTCACATCAAAGGATCGTTTCACACAGCTGAAATAAATCGTTTCACACAGTGACGGAAATAAAATTATATTTAAATATTACACGACAATGCTCCTCGATTTTCTGCGTACGCACTTAGAGCGAAATGACCTGTAATAAGTCGCTCATAATACAATTAAGCTGGCCCGATTGCAATGAAAGTACTTTAGCGAGAAGCACCCCAGAGTTAGATCGATCATGGTTTTTTGAGAACGCAGTTAATTAAGATCAATAAACAGTACAGTTCAAACTCTTGTTATTCGTCCTCTGCTCGTCAAGAACTACATCCAAACACTTAATCTGACTTGAAAGGGTGTCAGTAGGCCTACTTATCAGTTCTTGGACCTTGTGATATGCTGTGCAGTCATGTAAACATGTAAACATTGTAGGCCTACTTATGTGCTTAACTTAATTTGTATTGTACTGATCATAGTGGGTCCATGGGGAAATTTTGAGGCTAATCCCCCTCCCTCCTGCGCTGGTTTTGTGTAGTACGAAAATAGCTAGAAAACAAGACAATTAGTCTACGATCGAAACGGCGTCTTTAGTGGGTACGTTTCTTGGATAGCCGAATCTAAGGAGGCACAGTAGTGATAGAAAGTATTAAATATAATAAAAGAACGGCAGAGGGTAAATGATGGGAAAATAGCACTCGATCTAAGACATACAAAGTAGGTGCAAAGTGAAAGTACAGTGTACCTGCCGTACCGCTATCTTAGTCTTTTTTATGGTCGTTTAAATGTAACCTCACCTTAAAGACGACATTTGTGTATTAGAAAAGTCACGAATAATAAAATGTAAGAAATATTTTATATCCAATCCAACAATATTGGATAATAATTAACTTAACTTACCTCAGATGCAAATGGCATCGGGTATTCGTTGTGGAAATCCCAGGTTATTTTTAGTCCTCGGTATTCCCCTGTTTCGTTGATGACGTTATATTAGTCACAACTAGCACATTCATGGAAGGGTGCGCTATCACACACTTGTTTATGAAGTCAAACCGTTATGGCAGTAATCTGTGCCCGTCGAGTAAGAACCCCTGTCCAGGGCCGTAGCCTGAGCAAAATGCCAGGGGGGCAGTAAGCGGACACGAGGGGGCGAAGCTACCGAGGAGGGTGGGTGTGGTGTGTAAAATTCCAAATTCCAGGGGGGGTCTAGCTGCCCCCCGGAGGCTACGGCCCTGCTGTCAATACGCAAACACACTGTAAAGTAAGCTATAGACAATGAAAATCCGAAAGTTTGTTAGATCACCTAGTTTGTTTAGTAGTGCATGTCATAAGGTAAATAGTATCAGATATTACCGGTAATCTAAGAGCCACCTTGTGTGTGTGTGTGTGGGGGGGGGGGGGGTTGATCACTCTTAATAATTCAAAAATAAAATCTACGATCACAGTAATAGAAACTCTATTCACATCTACCTGATAATGCGAGACAAAAATCCTGAAAATTGAAAATCACTGGGTATAATGACTTCGTTTCACGAAGGGCTAAAATAAAAATCCGCACGAATTAGGACCCCCTGACCCCTGCCATTGAAAACTATAAATGTAGAATATTTTAGTTCTAAAGTCATGTTATGGTAAAAATACCTTTTAAAGGAATTAATTGTATCTCAATGAATTAAGATATGTGACGTCACATATTTATTTACTTTTTTTGGTCTCGCATTCAAAACACTAAATGTTCTCTTTGTTCGTTACTGACTCCCTTTTTTATGGAGGAAATGATTTTGAGTACTTTGCAATCGCTTGACTTGGACGAGTTGCGGTGCTCGTGAACCTTGTGATATGTTCTACACTTGGCCATGTAAAAAACTGAACTTATATATAAATGTTTAATTATGTTTGTATTGTGCTGATCATAGTAGGCCCGCGGGGAGATTTTACGGGGAATCCACCTCCTGCGTATTTTTTGTGTAGTCAAATAAATAAATAAATAAATAAATAAATTTAAAAAATAGTAAACAAGACAATTAGCCTACGATCGAAACGGCTTCTTTAGTCAGTATGTGTCTTGGACGGAATAATTTAAGGAGGTAAAGAAGTGCGAGAAAGTATTACACATTAGAAGAGAAATAACAGAGGGGGAAATAATGGGCAAATACCCCTCGACCTTATAAATACAATGTAGGTCCAAAGTGGAACTACTGAGTACGATCCACTGAGTACCTGTACCTATGCCTTTCATGGTCGTTTCAATATACCCACGCTAGCGACAGCATTCGTGCGCTTGAAAAGTCATGAATATTCAACTGAAAGAAACGCTTTAAATCCAATCCAACTATCTTGGATAATAATTTACCTAACTTACCGCAGAAGCTAATGGCGTCTGGCTTTATTTGTCGTGGAAATACCGGGATATTTTCATCCTCGGGATTTCCGTCTTTCGTTGCTGACGTCATAATAGGCAAGGCGATGGAAGAGTGCACTATCACATTCGTGTTTATTTAGTTAAATCGTTATTGCAGTGGTCTATGGCCGACGATAGGATGTCCTATAAATATGCAGTAACGTTGCATAGTAAAATATACATAATGATGAAAATCCACAAGTTTGCTGGATCACCTAGTGTATGGTATGGTGCAAGTCACGAGGGAGAATAGGCTCAGATACTAATTTGAGGGGCCCATTTGAGGGGGGGGGTGATCACAGTTCACAGTTTGAAAGATAAACACCAATTCACAGATTAGTAAATGCAACTTAATTCACATCTTTCTGATAACAAGAGTCGAAAATCATGAATCACCGGGTAAAATGACTTCGTTTCACCTAAGATCTAATATACCGTTTATTAGATCTTAGGTTTCACGAAGGGCAAATAATATTAAAGGCCCAGTCACAAATCAGTTGCGATGCGTCGGGGATGGGTAAAACCCGGGAAATTTGAACAAAATCTTGAGACAGATCTCACGATTTTGCACCCGTCGGAGGCGCTCTCCGGACGCCTGCGGGTTGTCGCAGATTTTTAAGACATCGCCACACCCGTCGCGGTCCCTAACTTTGAACTTAAAATTTTAAGATTGCTCGCAAGATTTTTCACCCATTTTGGGCATCCCAGACACAATCTCCGATGACCTACGATGCCCTCCGATTAATCGGAGGCGATCGGAGGCTAATCCCACGATTTTTCGACAAAACCGGGTCAAAATCATTGAAAAAAATCTCAGACAATGTGACTGCTCCACTTTTATTAGGATTATTGCTAGGATTGTTCAAGGATTCTTTATTTTCTACGACGACCCCCGGCCAAAACTAATCCCCGACAGATCGCCGACATTGTGACTGGGCCTTAACTCGCATTCACGAGTCACGGGAAAGAGGTGCTGCACTGCTGCAACCCACTTTGAAAAAATTATGAAATTTGAAAAAAATTTTAAATCGCGTCAAAAATGGGACAAAGTCAACGCGATTTGAAAAAATATTTCAAATTGCGTCAAACAGGCACATTTTAACACACTTTGAAAAATTTTGAGACTATTAAAAGATTAGGCAGTTTTTCTTTCATGTACGTCCGCCATATTTAGTCCCCAGGATCTGTAAAGCCTGGCTCAATCGTTCGGTCATAAATTGATAATAAGCATGTCAACTGAATTCATAACCTCAAGCAAAATGAAATAATTTATGAATTTATGTTCTTAACGCAGTTTGAAATAATTATTTAAACTGCGTTGACCCAGTCCACCAATTTAAGGCAGTTTGAAATATTTTTTCAAATTGCGTTGAGTCTGTCCACGATTTTAACGCAATTTGAAATATTTTTTCAAATCTCATTGACTTTGTCCCATTTTTGACGCGATTTGAAAATTTTTTTCAAATTGCGTAATTTTTTCAAAGTGGGTTGTAACACTGCACGGATCACGCTATATAACATATAACATTGCTATTGAAATAAAACATGGCTTTCACCGATAACGGAAATACCCAATGGGACCCTCTAGTTTTACTCCCCTGGGTGGTAGACCAAGCAAAATCTCAATACTACATGTACTTTAATCCTACAACTTTTCTATCTCAACAAAACACACCAAATCATCACAGTTTTTTGTTACTTGCCCTTCCAGTTTTGACGTGACATGTGGAATGTTTTATTTCTTAAGGTTTGTTCAGGTAAAAAGTAGTATTTTGAAGAAACTTGTATCTCAATGAATAAAGATATGTGAATAGAAAAATATGTAGTAGTAGTTGTGGCATCACCTAGTTATTTGCGTTTTATTCTCGCATCCAAAGCACTGAATTCTTCCGTTTTTGTTGTTCGTTACTGACGTGACGCCTTTTTTATGGATGAAATTATTTTTGAGTACTTTGGTCGCAGGTTTCTGTGGATAAATTAGAAGAGTCAATTTTCTTCAGTGGATAATTTGTTGAGTACATGGGTGTTATATGATGACTATATGGTGAGCCGATGTTTTTTTGTATACCATCTAGCAAGATTACAGATTTATTTTGCACAGGACATTTACCAGAATGTCTCTAGCTAATTATGTGCATTTTTCTGTACCGTGATTGTGTCAGGATCAAGGCAGGGACATATCTGTGAATATGAAGAAGTTAGTATTTATTTATTTAGAAGGATAAGAAGGGATGGCACGTGTCGTAAGGGTCTATTGAAGTACATATAAAATGGAAAGGGGAAATCAAATGTTGTGATGGATAGCTGAAATAGGTTTATTTCTTCGAATAAGGTGAAAATCACTATAATCATAGTACTGGTAAACATTTTAGTGAATATCGTTACTAAGTGTAGGCTAAGTCGTGTGCCATGTCACAGTCTGTTAGTTAACTGACCTTTAAATAATTATTTAATCCAGTTAAACACTGGCCAGTTAACCAATTGGTTGTTTTCCGTCAGAAGACTGTATATGAAACACATTTTAACCATCTTTTAGTTAATGGGTGTTAGTGGAATTTATCCACTGGTTAGGCTTATCCACTGGTTAGTGCTAAACATCCTTTATAAAACTGGGCCCTGGTATGTACGACCAGTTAACTCTCAGCACAGGCGGTATGTCTTACCCATTTGTTTTTCAGCACACTGCATCCTTAATATGGAAAGTCAATCGCCGTTAGGCTAATAATCTTGATATACATGTAACAAGGCAATGGAGGAGCCGAGGGGGGTAAAGTGATCACATGCACCCCTCGCCCCTTACCTTGGTGGGTATCGCCCTCTCCTGCTTCAACATTTTCCAAATCCTCAGCTGTGTAATGCCTCTATTCAACGCCGCCTACGATTTCCATGATCCGCAAAGAACTGCTGGTAAATCCAAGGTTCTAAGTTTAATATTGACACATTTTAAACCTCTTAACAATGATTCTTATTTATTCTTAGTCAGTTTTTACAATTTTGGAGAGATCGTTAACCAGTCTTCTATTTATTACCATTTGATGTTCATACTCCAATCTAGGGCCAGTACAGCCTACTATAGCTACTGTATGTTAAACATCCATTCCGGGACCAGATTTCTACAAAAATAAATAAATAAATAAATAAATTAAAAAAAAAGCAAAACACCACGATTCTCGCTGATTTAAAAAATTTATCAATTCCTGGCGATTCGTGTGTGGGTAGTCGGTGTGGAATAGGGATATAAGGATCCTCCCCTTGCACAAATCACACGCGTCAGATTGCAGATTCGGTCATGCGAATGTTAGACACGGTTGTTAGAGGAGGCAATGAATAATAAAAAAAAGTTGAGACAAAATCTATTCCTAAATATAATCCAATTCCAATTACAGTTGAATGTAATTATTAATTGCAATCTTGAATGTATGGAGAAAGGAGTCCAAGCTATGAGTTTAAAAAATATGCAACATATTCTAGCAAAATTACCCTTTATTAATTCAAGAACATTTATAAGTCCACTGTGAGTTTAAATAAAGATAGTTTTAATTAATACATATAGTCTTAAGCCCTGCCTTACCACAATTTTTGACTTGCAAATAGTTACATGAACAATATCCTTTCGCTGGAAGACGCCGGAAGTATTTCACTTACCAATTCGACACAAAAAGATGTTTGTAAAGAAATTATCAAATATTTTATGGAATTTTATGAAACATAAAAAAAACAGCGCACACACACAACTAATAATACTCCTGAAATTTAACAGG